CCCCTCATGATAAAATGTGGGCACTGTATCCTCTCCATCGTCACAAGAAGAAGGGTGAGTACAGGACATGTAGAGAGAGAGAGAGAGAGACAACTTTTATCACAGTGTACCGTTACGCTCGTTCTAGTTTGTTATTCTTGTTAATAATCTTTTGCTGTGCCAACTTATAAATTAAACTTCATCACAGGTACGTATGCATGGGAGAAAACAGTACAGATATCCCTTGAACAACACAGGGTTTAGGGGTGTCGAAAATCCATGTAGAACCTAGGAACCCCCCAAGACTTAACCTGCCTTACCAATGACGTAAACAGTTCCTCAACACCCGTTTTGTGTCTTATATGCGTTATATGCTGTATCCTTGCATTCGAGTAAGCTGGAGAAAAGGAAATGCTGTTGAGATCGTAAGGAAGAGACATTGCTAGTGTTCTCCTATATTTATGGAAAAAAAGCCCCACTTTGAGCCTGTGCAGTTCAGACCGTGTTGTTCGGGGTTGACAGCATCTGTGGGGTTCGGGACCGTCTGTGGTTTCAGGCGTTTCGGGGGGCCTGCCATATGAACACGTGATGTCATGCATTTCTTCTTGGAGGAAATGAAATTGTTGCATGCCTGGCACTCCTTCCCCATCTTCGTGGTTCTTCTGGAAGATGCCACCAGCCGCCTGGTGCAGTCCCTTCCACATGGTGGTCTTTCCGCTCTTTCCTTACTGCAAGTGCGCCCTGCACCACACCGTGGCCCTCCACTCGCCAAGGTCACACTGGCCGGCCCTTGCATTTGGACACCACGCACTTTATTTTGTTCTTTTGAACCTCTGTTGTGAGTTATAATGGAGTGTGGCGTGCTACGTTTGATGTCACCGTGCCCCGTGCAGGCCGCGGCCCGCGCCCCCGTCTGCCAGATGCTCAGCCCGAGTTGGACAGTCTGGGGGTCGTGTGCTGGGCGGTGCTGGTGTCTGGTCCACGGGGCTTGTTCAGATTGCGGTGCGTGTGCCCTGGAGCCCGCTCTCTGACCGGGTCAGGAGTTGGGGGAGGTTGTCACGTCTCCTCTGTCCCCTCCGGGCTGGCCCGCGCCCCACTCCCGTGTTTCGTGCCCCTGACACCGTGGGAGAACCCTGACCAGTTCCTTCGTGCGCTTCACCTCGCGTGGCTTTGTCGGACATTTCCCCAGTCCGGGCACAGCCCCCGGGTGCAGGCGGCTGCTGCATCCTGTCCACACGCCACACGCTGTCAGCTGTCCTGGGACCCACCTGCTGCGCCGCTGGGGCTGCCGTCTGCCAGTCTCCCCGCACACGAGGCCAGTTCCCGCCCTGTCATCAGCGAGTATCTCGTAGGGGGATGCTTGCACACCGTGTGAGGGTCACCCACCAGTGTGGCGTTCGTGGATGACTCTTGCCTGCACCAGCATGGGGTGTTTGTCACACGCTGACTTAAGGACAGAATCCGTCATTCCGTCTGCACTCCTTGGTCTGCACTCTGCCTGAGGGACGAGCTTCCCTCCCCTACTTAACCGAACTTTGCCAGCTAAAATTTACATCAGTACAGACTCGTGGGTTCTTGTTTATTCTGTGGAGTGGAACCCTCACCTCCTGGGAGCCCTGGCCCCATTCTCTGTACATGTCCTGGCGTTCTGCATCTCGTCCGCGCCCGAGCCCTGGAAACCAGCTGTCTCTCCGAGGGGTGTGTGGCCTGGTTTCCCAGTGAAATGCTGGTCATGTTGTAGTTTCCTCAAGGTTTGCTGTGGCTGCTGTAGTCTTTCCAGGGTCGTGCGTGCCGTGTGCCGCTAGGAGGGTCTGACAGGAGGGTGGGAGAGTCCCCGAGTGTTGGGCGTGGCAGGCACAGGAGGCAGAGGACAGGGCCTTGGCTGTGGTGGGCGGGTGTGATTGCAGCAGAGCTGGTCAGGCTGGAGGGGCCCTGGTAATGCCTGTGTCCTGTGAGGGAGGTTCTAAGTTGGAGCTCAGGGAGAATTTGTGGGGAGAAGCAGTGAGAACCAGGCCAGGTTGCAGGCTTGGTGGGTCCTGCCCAGGTGACCGTGGGTGAGTGGTGCAGGCATATGGGGATGTGGCTGGCTGGCTCTGATTTGGCTCCCCGGTCCTATACGCACTTAAGTAGGGCCACTCCCAGAGCACAGAGACGCTCCCCTGGGGAACCGACGGGTGCTGGCCTGGGCTTCGGGGTCCCCGGCTGTGCTGGGGCAGGTGGCTGTCCCTGGCTAGGACGGTGGGAGCCCAGGAGAGCTGCTGGTGAACAGCGTGGACAGTGAGTGCTTCTCCTGGCCTGGAATAAGCCCGAGTGTGCACAGTGCCTTTGGTTGGGATGAGCTCATGAATTCCAGGGCCCTTCGTAAGCCTGTCCACATGCTCTGCCGAAGGGAGAGCCCTGTGCCGTCCCTCGGCTGCCTTGACAGGTGCCCGAGTGCAGAGCGGTGGTGGGCTGTCTCTGCTCTGCTTCCCACGCTTGCTGGGACGCCTCCTTCCCCCACTCCGTAAAAGGCTGGCTTGGGGCATGCTGTTTTATTTATTTATTTTTAAATTTATATTATTTTATTTTTTAATTAATTACTATTTTTTAAATTAACATATAACGTATTATTTGTTTCAGGGGTACAGATCTGTGATTCATCAGTCTTACAGAATTCACAGCGCCCACCATAGCACATACCCTCCCCAATGTCTATCACCCAGCCACCCCATCCCTCCCACCCCCCACCACTCCAGCAACCCTCAGTTGAGATTAAGAGTCTCTCTTTTTTAAATTTAATTTTTAATTTTTAATTTTTTAAAAAGATTTTATTTATTTAAATGACAGAGAGAGACGCAGCAAGAGAGAGAACACAAGCAGGGGGAGCGGGAGAGGGAGAAGCAGGCTTCCCGCTGAGCAGGGAGCCCGATGTGGGGCTGGATCCCAGGACCCTGGGATCATGACCTGAGCTGAAGGCAGACGCCTAACGACCGAGCCACCCAGGTGCCCCTGGAGTCTCTTATGGTTTGTCTCCCTCTCTGGTTTCGTCTTTTTTCATTTTTCCTCTCTTCCCCTATAATCCTCTGTTTTGTTTCTTAAATTCCACATATTAGTGAGATCATATCATTGTCTTTCTCTGATTGACTTATTTCACTCAGCATAACACCCTCCAGTTCCATCCACATTGTTGCAAATGGTAAGATTTCATTATTTTGGTGGCTGTAATATTCCATTGTATATATGGACCACATCTTCTTTATCCATTCATCTGTGGATGGACATCTTGGCTCTTTCCACAGTTTGGCTATTTGTGGACATTGCTGCTATAAACATTGGGGTACACGTACCCCTTCGGATCCCTACATTTGTATCTTTGTGGTAAATACCCAGTAGTGCAATTGCTGGGTCATAGGGTAGCTCTATTTTCAACTGTTTGAGGAACCTCCGTACTGTTTTCCAGAGTGGTTGCACCAGCTTGCATTCCCACCAACGGTGTAGGACGGTTCCCCTTTCTCCACATCCCCGCCGACATCTGTCGTTTCCTGACTTGTTAATTCTAGCCATTCTGACGGGTGTGAGGTGGGATCTCATTGGGCACTGTCAGGGCAGTGTCTGTTCACTCCTGTGGAGAGTGCACGTGTGCGTGTGCAAGGGCGCCGGAGGGTGTGAGTCTTGCTGGCCTCTGGCAGCATCTGTAAAAAGGCTTTCTGCTGGGGTCTGCCGGTGCATTCTGCCGGCACTTTCCGTAAAGCTGTGTGCTCCTTGCAGTCCTGGCCGTGATGGGGGCTGCCAGCTCCGTGTGGAGGTGTTCCTCGTGCAGACATCCTAAGGGACGCTGCCCCAGGACCTGACTCAGTGGGTTTGGGGTGGGGCCTCTGCCTTGTGAATGGTCTGCTGGGCCTGAGGAGGCCTCTGGGAAGGGGGGCCTCAAGGCCTGCTGCGGGTTAGGGGCCCGAACTCGACATTCTGGAGGGTCTGTCACTGCTCTCATTTTTTAATTTCTGAGAGCTCTTTTCATTTTTCTTTAAATACTTCTTTTTTTTTTTTTAAGATTTTATTTATTTGGGAGAGAGTGAGAGCAGGGGAGCACAAGCGGGGTGAGGGTCAGAGGGAGAAGCAGACTCCTTGCTGAGCAGGGAGCCCGACATGGGACTCGATCCCGGGACCCTGGGACCATGACCTGAGCCGAAGGCAGATGCTTAACGACTGAGCCACCCAGGCGCCCCTAAATACTTCTTTTTAAGGAAATTCTGATCTTATTTTGTGGACCGGGCGCCTTCTCCATCTGAGGGCAGGACTGATGCTGTTTCCTCTGGGTGGCTGGGGCCCTCCTGTCTGGTCGGCGCTCTCCCTGGCTTCCGAGGCAGGTGGCCCTACTCGTGCTCGGCAGCGGGCCGCTAAGAACGTGGCAGCCAGGGATGGGGTGGGTGGTGGGCTACACGGGGGCTCAGGGCCCTCCCCTTGCTGGTGTCTGTGGGCAGCCAGGTCCCAGGTGCAGCGTGAGTGCCCACTCCTGGGAATGGAGGGCCTGCGCTCCCACTGAGCTGCCCCTGCAACCCCGCACCCGGGGGCCCGGGGCCAGGCTCTGCACCCCTGCGCCTCGCACGCAGGGCCAGCTGGACCGACTGGGGGAGGGGTGTGTAACGCCGTAAGGGGACAGTGGTGCATGAGGGTTCAGTAATTCTCAAGCAGCTGTTCCTCGGGTGTAGGATGCGGCTTCCTGCCACTGTCCAGCTTCCCCCTGTCTCTTCTCCTGTCTGCTCTGCCCACCGCGGGGCAGGGGTGGGGTGGCCTTCTCTGCTGCTTCCCCTGGGGCTTTGGGAGGACTGGATCTCAGGTGTGCACTTAACCTGCTGTCCTTCCACCAGAATGCCACTTCTAGTACAGTTTCCAGGGGAGCTCATACGGTAGTTGTAAAGCAGGAGGGTTTTCATCAGGCGGAGGTAACAAATATTCTCCACACAAAATACTCAGCATAGAACAGGAACACTGACCCAGTGGTTCTGCGTGTAATCACTTCTTTCTCTTTCCCACAAACACAGATGCAGAGTTCTGAAGAGTCCTTGGAAATGGATCACTCATCTGTAAAGCGGAAATCCACCTTGAGGGTCAGCTCTGACCCAGCAGCGACCCAGGCCTCCTGAAGCCTGCTGTTCTGAACCCCCATGCCCATCGGTACAGACTTGAGGACACGGGTCCCTGACCATGGTCACACTCATCACTGAGAAGCTGCAGAACCAGAGCCTGGATGACCTTGTCCGCAAGAGCTACGATGCTGGTCCGGTAAGCTGGCCGCGGCGGTAACACACAGGACCCTGTCCCCCGCCGAGGGTCTGGGGGAGACTGCCCAAGCTGTCTAGATGGTGTGTGGCCAAGGTCTGAGGGGACGTGGTGGGAGGAGGGCTGGAGGGGGCTGTGTCCCGGGGCCGTGTTGTGCACGTGCAGCCCCCACATCTCCTCAGTGTCCTGATGATGGGTTTCTCATTAAAAAAACACCAGCTTTTAATTAATGTCCAGCCGACTCCTAGAAGTATGCCAATCCTAAGTGTGCAGCATGCAGATTTCATACCTGTTAAACGTGTCTCTGAGCGAGCAGCGCCCGTCCCCACCCTGATGCCCCTCATGCTGACACCAGCCCTTCTGACAACCTCAGTCTTGAGTGGTCTCCACAGCTTTGTCACTTGGGTTTGAAGTTTGCGTAGGTGGAGCCGTTTTTCCAGGATCGTATTAACATGACTTTCAGGACTGTCCTGGTTCGACTGTAGGTCTGGACGGAGGTGGCCAAGTGTGCAGCCCCACATGGTGCTTGGAGGCCTCCTGAGCGGCCTCACTGATGCTGGGCGCCCAGAGCAGTGTTGGTGCAGCCCAGCTGCGAGTTAGGCCTCCCAGAGGCGGCGGGAAGCTGTGATTCCAGGCCTTTGACGGTGGGCTCATGGCCCACCGTCACAGCGGCTGGTTTTGAGGTTCTGAGGCTCAGCGCTACAGACGGAGTGCCAGGGACGGGAGGTGGGCCCGTGTCTGCAGCCCAGGGGGGTCATGGGTGCTGAGGGGTTTTTGTGGGGCGCTGCTGTCTGGCCTCGAGCTCGGAGTCCTGATGGGATTCCAGCGGCCACCATGCACGTGTTCCCATCTTCGCTTGTGCTCAAGTGTGGAAACTGCTTCTGGGAGACTAAGCAAAACCGGGGCTGTAGCGGAGCATGCGCGGCCACAGATGGCCACATGCCCGTCAGAAGGTGTGCCCGGGAGCTGGCGGCCAGGTGCTGTGTGGCTTTGCTGGGGAGACGGGCCAAGGATCGGGCCTGCAGGGCCCTTGCAGAGGAGCGGACATGGCTGATCCTAGCACGTTTGGGGAACGGAACACGTCGCCTCTCTGACAGAGAGAAGGACCGTTGTGAGCACCCCGCGCAGGAGGAGAGGCGCACGGTCAGCCCGCCCTCCCTCCCCCTCTGCTGGCCCCACCCGCGGGCTCCGTGTTCCGTGTCCCGTTCTGTTGCCGCTGGGGGTGATTTGTTTGTTTCATTAAGACTCGTGTTTTTGAGAAGATGGCCTGTTAACATGGTAGGTTTTTCTTCCTGAAGTGGGAGAACAGACCTTTCCTGTCCCCAAATCTACATCTTGAATTTTACGAGGAGCCATTTTGCTGTTGGAAGCAGAGTTCTGGTGCGTGTGGTGGAGCCAGCCAGCTGTGGCCTGCGGGGCGGGGGGGGGCACCGCGGGGTCGGGGCGCGTGCTGTGGGTCAGCGGGGCCCACACGAAGGTGTTCATTTAGACAGACTACCCTGGCAAGACAAATCCTACCTATGATTCTTCCCATTGTGATGCAAATAGATTTACTTTGTGTGAATTTACAACGTAATGTTTGGAAGAGAATTCCCTCATTACCGGTAGGCATTTTGCCGACTTCCTGGGGAGGCTTGTTCTTGCATCTGCACGGTTTCTGCTGCATGACTGCAGACGCTTTGTTTATAGAAACCTGCTGTTTCTATGTTCACTTTTAAAAATGAGGTGTAATTTACAGGCAACGGAAGGCACAAATGGCCCTCTCTTTTTGAGCAAGAAGCCTCTGTCGTCTCTGTCACCCATTTGATGTTGGGCTTTTAGTTTATGTGGCTCTCCAATGTCACTTTATAGTAAGGATGGTGTGGTCAGCTCTGCAGAGGGAACTTGGAATCTGTGTCCCTGAGGGTCAGCGGTTTACCTGTGAGCCAGTTCCCCGACGCTACCTGCACGTGTCTCAGCACACGCTACTCGTAACGTTCACTGAAAGGAGTCGGTAGTTAAAAAGCCAATTTGTTGTATAAGAATAGAAATTGAAGTTTTCGAAGGTGACTGACGTTAGTATTTTCATGGCAAAATCTGAACATAGGTTGGAGTCGAGCGTTAGAGACCTTGAGGTCAGCACTGTCAGCCCCTGTCCCTTGTTCCGTCTGTGCCTTCAGCCACGCCCCTCCTGCGGCTGTCTTAGAGCGAGTTCTGGATGGTTTTCCTCGGAGTATTTCCGTATACGTCTCTACAGATGTCTTCTCAGGTGTCCCCTGTCCCGGGTGTGTTGCGCAGACTGCCCTGTGCCCTGTGTGGCGGCCTCTAGTTCCATGTGGCTTTTCAAATAGAAATTAAAGTTAATTAGAATTAAGCGTAACGAACAATGCTATTTTGCATTTGCACTGGACACACGTCAGGTGCCCCCGTGTTTGGTGTGGCCAGTGGCCGCCCTAGTAGGCAGTGCAGACGGCTGCCCCTCATCCCAGGAAGTTCTAGACTGGGCGTGGTCAGACCCCGCTGGTTAGACTGCGTTCTGTCTGCCGTTTGTCTGTCAGTGGACATTTGGGTTGCTTCTACTTGTCCGCTGTTTTCAGTGCTGCTGCGCCAAGTGTTTGTGTGCAGGTTTCTGATTGGACAGACGTCTTCATTTCTCTTAGTGTTCGTCCGGCAGTGGGACCTGTGGGTCGTACTGTAACTCCATTTAACCTTCCGAGACACCGAGCTCTTCTCTGCACGGCTGCACCGTCATACAGCCCGCCAGGCGGGGGGCCCTGAGCTCTCCACTTCCTCCTCAACACCTGCAATTGTCCCTCTTTTGGAGCCTCGCCACCCAGGAGGTGCGGTCTCCTTGTGCTTTGAGCTGTGCGTCTCTCCCGACTGGTGACGTCAAGCGCTTTTCCCGTGCCTGCTGGCCGTCGTTGAATCTTCTTTGAAGAAATAGGTCTTCAAGTCCTTTGCCCGTTGAAAATGTGGGTTTTCTGTCTTTTTATTTTTGAGTTGTTAGAATTCTTTGTATAGTCTGATCCCTAATTGGATATGTGATTTGAAAAAACGTTTTTCTATTCTGTGGGTGTTTTTCTTAATAGTGTTCTTTGAAGCACAAAAGCTTTTATTTTATCGAAGTCCAGCCGATCTCTTTTTCCTTTTGTCACCTGTGCTTTTAGTGTCATATCTAAGAACCTTGGCCGAGTCCTAGGTCGTGAAGATTTATTCTTACATTTTCTCTAAAAGTTTTATAGTTTTAGCTCTTACATTTGGGTCTTTGATCCCTTTTGAGCTACTTTTAGTGTGTGGTGTGAGGTAGGGGCCCAACTTCGTTCTTTTGTGTGTGGATCCCAGTTGACCCAGCACCATCTGTTGAAGACTCTTCCTTCCCCTTGAGTGGTCTTTGGCACCCTTGTCAAAAGTTTACATTTTTAAAAACAAAGTCTTTGAAACCTAGTGTGTACATTACAGATGCAGCAGATCTCAATTTGGACACCAATTTTCATTATAGAAATATTTGATCTGTATTTAGATTTCATGAAATTTATAGTTGAAAAAGTAGATTTCACATACTCCAGTTGTTCTAAGCACACTGAAAAGTTTTCCAAAAAATTGAATTATTAGTTTTAAAACTAAAATTCAAGATAGTTAAATGTAAATAAAATTGGAAATCACTAAACATTTGGTGCCTTTGTCTCTCTAGCTGTGTGCCACTCCGGTCACTCATGAATCCCTCCCCGAGTACTGTCACTTGCTGCGTGGTCAGGCGCAGGTGGTGGGAGCGGGAGGCCCAACAGGGACATCTCATCCAGTCCTGAGGGGTTAATCCCTTTTGAGGGTCTCTGCCCTGTCAGCCAGAGAGCTGACATTTGTCTCGAGGGTCAGTGTCCCCTGTGTACCATTGCTCAGTCAGCCCAGGTGTGGGGAGTGCTCTGTGCGCCTGGCCATGCTGTGCTTAGTGCCTCTTCGTGGATGTGCCAGTAGACCCTGTGTCCTCTCTGTCCTCACCCCGTTCAGTGGGGCTGGCTCCTTCATTTTATGGTCCTTTTTCTCTGGCCTCAGGTACATTCCCACTTCCTTCTGATCACCGGGGTGAGGTCGGCTCTTCCTGCATTGCCTCTGTGAGGCTCGGGGGACATAGGCTGGTCTAACTGTGACCAAAAAGGCCTAGAAGCACATGAGGTGTGTCCGGTTCCCACTGCCCCTTCCCCTGCCCAGACAGGACGGTGAGTGCCTTGAGAAATTAGGCCGTGTCTTCCGGCTTCTGGTATTTTCCATAGCTGGTGCACTGGTTCGTGTCGGCGAATGCTGGCTGCCCCAGTGAGTGTGGGCGGGCGACCTGGGGCAGCTCTGTCCGGGGGCACGTTCTGTGGTGACGGGAATGCTCCCCGCTGTCCAAGTATGTGGCTCCTTAAAGCATGTGGTTATTGGGCCCTGAGATGTGGCTGGGGTGATGGGGAGCTGAATTTGTATTTTATATAATTGAAGTTTAAATTTCCGTAACTGCTGACCGTTGTGTGGGGCAGCATAGATAGAGAGCGAACTCAGTGACCTGAGTGTCAGCCGTCCCTCACGTGGACCCTCTGTGGCCACACCGCGCTCCCTCCAACCAAGCTCTCCCGTCTCCGTGATTTGTCATTTCAAGGATGATCTGTGCGAAGTCCATGACCTTTGGGGAGGGGCCTTTTTTGCTCCTCATGATGCCCTGGAGAGGCATCCGGGTGGTTTCGTGGTTTAGCGGAGTAGTTGCACTCACGTAAGGGCGTACCATTCACCCGCTGAAGGCTTGTTGCAGTTCTTTTTTTTTTTTTAAGATTTTTAAAAAAATTTTATTTATTTGACAGAGAGAGGGAACACAAGCAGGGGGAGTGGGAGAGGGAGAAGCAGGCTTCCCGCGGAGCATGGAGCCCGATGCAGGGCTTGATCCCAGGACCCTTGACCTGAACCGAAGGCAGACGCTTAATGACTGGGCCGCCCAGGCGCCCCAAGTCTTGTTGCAGTTCTGATAAAAATCCCAGTACCCTACAGTTCTCAAGTGAGCTGTAGCTTCTCTGGTTCGTTTGTTTACAACCTGAGGCCGTGGCATCACCATGCGCTGCCCTTCCCGAGGGGCTTGTGTTCTCCTGGGAAGATAGACACAGCCAGCCCTGGGACGGCAGGTGCGGGCTGTGTGGAGCTGCAGGGGCGGCAGAGAGGAGAGGAGGTGTGGTGGGGGCTGTGTACTGCAGAGGAGGGGGGGTCTTGGGGCCTCAGGGGAGGAGGATGTGCAAGCAGGTGGGTGGGCAAGGAGTCACTGCACGCAGCCCGGCCCGCCGAAATGCCGGCAGGATCCAACAGAACTTGTTGAGGTGGTTCAGTGAATGTGGGAGTGGCTCCAGATGTCAGGTGGGAGTGTGGTTTCTCTGCAGGCAGGCAGCCTAGGGAGCCCCTAGCCCGTGCTGGTGGACGGTAGAACAAGAAGGCAGTGTGGGGGTGTTGAGAGTTGACATAGGGCGGCCAGGGCTGGACCCTTGGTGGGCGGCAGGCCCATGGCAGCAGGTGCCTGGGCTTCTGTTCTCGTGAGGGCGGGCCCAGAGCAGGTCAGGGTAGCAGGCCCACTCCACTGCGCTGTGGTGGGGGGCGCTGAGGAGGAGGGTCGCGAGCTGGGGGTGCACTGGGGGCGGACGGTCAGGAGGTTCAGTATCACTCGCTGTGGTGTGGGCTGTCGGCGTGCCGTTGTGTCCAGCTATGCAGGTACAGGCTTGGATGGTGAGGAGTCTGGCTTCTAAAAACCTTTTGTTGAAAATACGCTTTTTTAGTGAGGTAGACTTTGCACACAGTGGAACGTGCAGGTTGGGTTTGATGAGTTCGGTTGGATGAGTTTTGCGGGTGGTGCACACTGGGAACGCTGTCACCACCCAGACAGGTTCTGGCCTTCTCAGGGCCCCACGTGGCCTGTCCTGGCTCGTCCCAGAAGCGCGGCAGCTTGTACTTTGGAGTCTGGCTTCTTTCCCTGGCGGGAACTCAGGAGGGACTCATCAGGTCCGTGGTGGTTGGCGCTTCCTTCCTTCCTTTCCTCTGCGGGGTGGTCTCTGTCTTCCTTCCATGGACGTTTGGGCTCTTCCCAGGCTCTGGCTGCTGAGCGCGTGCGGTCTCCTGTGGCCGGCTCTCCCAGCAGTGCCCTGGCCTGCACCTTGGCCCGGCCACTGGGCACGCCTGGTGCCGTGTCCCCCAGGCTCGGACCACTTTCCCCGGATGACGAGGGAGATTGCACCTCTTGTTCTGCCCAGTGGCCAATTGTGAGTGACTTCAGGTCTTTGGCCATTTTTCTGTTGGATCGTGTGCCTTTTATTTTTACTGATCTGTGGGAAGTCGTTGATACATCCTGCTATGATCTTTTTTGACTTGAAAATATTTCGCAAATATTTTCTCCTATCTTACGGTTTGCCTTGTCACGGGTGACTTTCAGTGAACAGAAATTCTATTTTCAACATAGATGGAAGCACCCGTGTAAGTTAGTGTGTTTTTATATCTCACTTAAGAAATCTTTGCTACCCTGAGTCTTGAAGTTATTCTCCTGTTTTCTTCTAGAAGCATCTGTTTTACTTTAGCTTGAAGACTGCACTCTCCCTGGAGCTGAGTCTTGTGTGTGGGATGAGACCAGGCCAAGAGTGGGTTTTCTTTTTTTTTTTGCACGGATGTGTGGTTGACCCAGTGCCCTTTCTGGAAATGGCTGCCCTTTGTCCACCATCAGTCGGTGGATTTCGTTACTCACACATAGCCCAGGAGCCGCCCTGCATGTGTGTCCCACTCTCACTCCAGCCCCAGGTGGGGAGACCGAGGCTTACACAGAGGAGCCGGCCTGCCCCCAACAAGGTTGCTCAGGGGAGTGGACTGCAGGCCGCGTGCTGCACGGGCCGTCCCTGGGCTCGGGTATGGCGGGGCCGGGCCGGCCTCGGTGCCAGCCTGTGGTCTTAGCGCCCCCTGGTATCCCAGGGCGTGTTCAGGGGCGGCCTCGTCTGGTCAGGGCTCCTCAGCACGAGGCAGGCTGTACAGTCCTGTTCTGGATGTGGAGGCCCACAATGCCGCAGCTGTCTTCCCACAGAGAGGCCCCCGGCTAGCCCTGATCCGCTCCCCAGCACAGGCGCTGTCCACAAAACCCACGTCCCCTGCTGTGCCACGCGGCCGCTGTGTGCCTGCACGCTGAGCTGTGACCTGGGCCTCCTGTGTGGGAGCTGCTGGAGCCTCTCCTTGGTGGACGATGCTTCTGTTCAGGTTTCCTGCTGTGGGGACGGCAGCCCTGGGAAGGTGCTTGTGCCTGGGCTCACCTGGGGGACAGGGGCTGGCCAACCCGGCCCGGAGTGGGGGGCATGGGGGTTGGGGGCACTGGGAGGGCCTTGGGGGGTTTGGGGTTGCTGGTGGAGGTGGGAAGGCAGAGACAGTTGAACAGCGACGGCTCCCGGACCCCACAGGATGGTTCTGTGTCCCCACAGCACCGGGGGCTTGCCCCAGAGACCCAGCTGGATGATGGCACCCCTGGGGCTGGGTGGGGGGAGCCTGCAAAAGCAGACAGACACAGGCGAGCAGCCCCCCCTCAGGCGCCGTGGGGGCAGATCACAGCTGAGACCCCGAGCAGCCCTCAGGGGGCCTGGCCAGGGGCCGGTCCGTGCGGGAGAGGGCCTGAGTGGAGAGGCCGTGAGGGCAGCCTGGCTGGCTGCGGGAGGGCTGCCTGGGCAGGAGCACACGGTGCTGTGCACGTGGCCTTCGATTCCTTTCCCTCAGCTGTGTGTTGTTCGGCCTTTAAGAATCTTGATTAAGCGGCGCCTGGGTGGCTCAGTCATTGGGCATCTGCCTTCGGCTTAGGCCGTGATCCCGGGGTCCTGGGATCGAGCCCCTGCATCCGGCTCCCTGCTCAGCGGGAAGCCTGCTTCTCCCTCTGCCACTCCCCCTGCTTGTGCTCCCTCTCGCTGTGTCTCTCTCTGTCAAATACATAAATACAATCTTTAAAAAAAAAAAAAGAATCTTGATTAAGAAAAGGATTTATGCCGGGGTCCATGCTTTTCCTTTTCATTGCCAAAAATGCAGCGTTGGGGAAAAACAGCACTGACCCATAGGGATGAGATCATTGCGTTACCTGACTTCATGCTGTTGTGAGTTCTGTGTCCATGTCCACGGTGTTCATACTGGTTTTTCTTGTCATTTACAGCGTTCTGCTGGGACACTGAGCAACAGGGGTCATTTGTTCCCTTTTGAGAGCAACGGTAAGTGTTCGAAGCCCTGACCCATCCTCCAGAGCTGCTGTGGCCATGGGCCAGGGACGGTGCGTGGAGCGTGCGGATGTGGACCTGGAGGGTGATGCCCAGCCTGCTGGGCTGGCGGTCAGGGCGTGGCCCGGCCTCTGCCTCCAGTGTGGCAGGTGCCGGGCCGCTGGGCCCTCCCGGAGAGGTGCTGGCTGTGTGAGGTCGAGGCCCGCCCTGTGGGGCCCCGTGGCCGCTGAAGGGAGAGCAGGGCGGGGTCGGGCGCGGCACGGGGTCCGTGTGTAGCTCCTGTGTGGCCCACACTGGGCCATCAGTGCGCGTTGGGACTTGGCCCCCACCACCTGAAAGGCCCCTCCAAGTGCGTGTGTGTGTGCAGAGCCTGTCGCCCTCCACTCCTGGTAACTTTGGCTCTGGATGACAGGCTGTGGTGAAGCATGTTAGCTGGGGTCTGACTCGAGTGCAGGTCCTCTCTCTGCCGGCCCTGGGCACCACGGCTGTAGGGTGGCACTCAGAAGCCATTGGCAGGGGCGCTGTGTTAGGTGGCTCTCCAGACTAGTGAAATGAAGGTTATTTTTACCAAATTCTTTTGTGAACGGATGGAGGTAGGAAGTGTGAGCCCAGCACTGGGCCCTAGGCACTGTGTCCTCAGTGGGAGTCCACCCTGCACATGGGGCCAGTCCTCAACAGGGATTCCCAGGGGGTCTGACCCTGCCTCTTTGCTGCCCAGGGTCACCCCAGGGCCTTTGCTCATGCCTTTCCCCACAGCGGTCCTCTTCCCTTGGGGTCCCACTGCCTCCATGCCCAGTTTCCCAACTGGTAGTGAATGCTGAGTGGCCGGAGTCATGGGGTTGCTGAGCGGACTCTCAGCCGGGTCAGTGGGAGTTAGGGTTTCATGGTGCACCTTGCTTCCACACTAGGAGTCCCTGGAGACCCACTCACCTGGCTCTGCCCTCAGCCCCCAATGCAGCAAAGCTCATGATGGCGGCCCTGTTGGGTGCATTCGGGGTCTGGGCACCCAAGGGGTGTGTGGAGGAAGGGCTGGAGTGGGCTGCTCCCGGGGCATTGCCGGCAGAGGGAGCCCCTGGTGCTTGCATGGTGTGCGCTCACATGTGGGTCTGCGGGAGTGCATGCTGACCCCGGATTCTCAGTGTCTCGTGTGAGACTCCCAGGAGCCACATGACGTGAGGAAGTGGAGGCTGGGGGTGGGGGTACTGGCCCTCTGCACAGTCCCTGCCTGCTTTGTGCTGTGGCTGTGCCTCCAATTTCGCGAAACAGGGCTGCCTCCCGGAGAGGAGGCGAGGGGCACCGTGGCCCACGTGCTAAAGGGGCACCAGCCGCCTGGAAGCAGCCTGGTGGGCGGGGGTCTTGCAGGTGAGGTCGCACACCTGGAGGAGGCCTGGGCCATGGACAGAGAAGTGGGTGACGCAGGGCAAGTCTTTCCATGAACCGGAAAGGAGAGTGGTGTGCTCTGGTCATCTTCAGGGAGTGGGTAGCTGGCCTCGTTGAGACGTGTCTTCCTTGGAAAGTGAGGCTGGCTCCTGGGCTGAGCTGACCAGGGGGGAATGCAGGCAGGGCCGGCGCTGACCGGGTCTGTGGCAGAGGAGTCATGTGAGGCTTAGTGTCAGGCCGTGTCCCCAGCCAGGCAGGGGCCTCGGGGCCTGGCAAAGACTGTGCCTTGTCTCCTGCTCACTCGTCTCTTCTCTTTTGTGTTTCCTCAGAAGACAGGCGCCCCTGGAAGGTCTTAAGTGGAGGATGGCCCGTCGGGAGCCAGACGGCCACGGGCACACGTGGCCCAGACACAGGCCTGGGTGCCGTGAGCGCCACAGACCTCAGGGAGAGCACAGGGCCCCCCTCGGCACCACCTACCAAGCGCCACTGCCGCTCCCTGTCAGAGCCGGATGAACTGGCACGCTGCCGCTCCCCCTGGCGCCCCGGCGGCTCCAAGGTCTGGACGCCGGTGTCCAAGAGGCGGTGCCACAGCGGCGGGCGCGCCACGCTGCGGGAAAGCCTGGCTGCCAGCCTGCCCGGGAGCGCCACACTGCTGGGCCGTACCGCCCCGGTGGCCGGCCCCACCTCGCCCCCCGTGCCCCGGCCGCCTTCAGCTGGCGGCGGCTGCCCGGACGGCAGTGAGGGTGGCCCGGGCCCACCCTGGCGACCCGCAGGACCCTGCGCTCTGTCCTGCAGGCGCCGCCTGTCCCTGTCGCAGGAGCACCTGGTGGAAGTGGGCACACCCCCGCCCTCCGCCGGCAGCAGCCCCTCGTCCACGCCTGAATTGGGCCGGCGGCTGGGCCTGCTCCGGTGCCGCTCACAGCCTTGTGTGCTGGTCGGGAGGAAGTGTCGGCGCAAGCGCAGGCGTGAGGAGAGCGCCTGCTGGCCGCGCCCGTCCTTGGACTTTCTGAAAATGACACGGGTGAGGATCGTCTTGTTTCTGCTGTGCTCACCTCACGGGCGCCACCCTGCGGCGCGGGGCGGCTCTGCGGCCAGATTGGCCCACCCCAGCCTTGGTGGTCTCCGCCCCTCGGCGGGAGCCCAGCTGCCCGGAAAGGCGCTCTGGGCCTGGCTGGGCCTGAGGTTGCAGCGTCCCCATGGCCGTGTTTCCTGCCCGCCTGGGCGGGGTGTGAGCCGTCCTCAGCCTCGTGCATGTGTCTGTGTGTGTGCATGTAGACGTCTCGGGTTCCTGGCCCCACAGGCCCCCATGGCTCTCGGGTTCCCTGCCCTCCCTGGCGTGGGACGGCCGTGACTGCCTTTCTGTATGGGAGCCCATGGGGCAGAGTCGGCGAGCTGGGCTGCAAGACGGGGCAGTGAATGGGGTTCAGCAGTCAGGTGGGCAGGCCGGCTAGAAGCAGAAGGGCAGGGTGCAGAGTCGGGTGGGGCGCTGGCACCGGCAGCCCCAAGGAAAGGAGCCCAGGAGATGTGAAGCCTGCTTGTCTGTCTTTTTTTAGAGAGAGAGCGAGAGAGCGTGAGCACATGAGCAGCATGGGCGTGGGTTGGGGAGGGGCAGAGGGAGAGGGCTAGAGAATCCCCCGCTGAGCGCAGAGCCTGCCATGGGGCTCGATCTCATACCCTGAGATCCTGACCTGAGCCAAAACCAAGAGTCGGATGCTCAGCCAACTGAGCCACCCAGGTGCCCTGCTTGTCTTTCTAAAACGTTTTCCCTCGTTGCTGATGTATCATCGGGTGCCCTCTGCCCTTGGACCCTTGAGGTCCCCTGAGCCTGCCCCAGCATCTGACAGCCCCTCTGCCCGAGGCCCCAGCCTCACCGGCCTGGTGCCTTGTTTAGCCTGGCACCTCGCCAGGGTTACTGCGTCACAGCCCACATTTAGCCCACGTGGCGTCCACGGATCAGGCATCCAGGAGCAGCTCCGCTGGGCGGCTCCACTCAGGGTCCCCTGTGCACTCATGCTCCGTGGGGCTGTGTCACCCGCAGGCTCAACAGGGCCAGATGAGCCACTCCCAAGCCATCACGTGTGAGGTTTGCTGGGGGCTCACCGGGACACCATCTGGGCCCGGGGTGTGTGTGGAGGTGAGCAGACCTGCACACTCAGTGTCTCTGGGGCAATCTACTAGGGCTTCCTGAAGTTACCACTTTCTGGGAAATGGCATTGCATTTAAGGTGTCAGTTTGGGGCACGAAGTTGCTCATTGTATCTCCTAGGACTTTTAAAATCTTTACTCTGGTGCGTTTGTAGCTGTCTCTTTTACTCCTGATGTGTTGAATAATCAAACATATGCAGACAGGCGTTGTGAGCAGTTGTGATAGCTGACGGACGCTCCTGATGGTGACCTGGGGGATGGAGGCCAGCACCCAGCCCAGACGTCGGTCGGGCTGGAGCCCTGTCCTTCTCCAGCTCCCGGCCACCTCTGGAAACAGAGGGCATCTCAGCGTGATGCTTTCTACTTAGACCGTCTCTGGTGCCCAGTGTGCACAGCTCTGCAGACGCCGGCGGGTGTCTGACAGTTGGCGCCATTCTGACACCAGCTGCCCTGAGTGCAGACCCTGCAGCCTCACAAGACCACCCGTGCTTCAGACGCCTCCCATACCTCCCAACCGCCATCTACAAATCGGAGTTCCCACCACCCCCTCCTCGGGTTCCGTAATTGGCTAGAACGGCTTGCAGAACTGCGGAAAGCACCTTATACTAACTCGTGACCCATTTATCATGAAGGACACAACTCGGGACCATCCCGAGGGCAAGGTATGGGGCAAGGGGTGCAGAGCTCCCCCCTGCCCAGCACCCAGACGTGCTCCCCAACCTGGGAGCCCTCCAGATCCCCCCACCCCCTGGGCAGGGGATTTATGGAGGTTCCACTGCCCAGGTGTGACTGATGAGCTCGCTGGCCATTGAGATTGACTGCCTCTCCATCCCCTCTCTGCCCCTGGAAGGGGTGTGGGGGTGGGGGACTTAAAGTCCAACCCACTAAGCCCAGTGTGGTCATTCTGTCCACTGCCCCATCCAGAAGCCCACTAGGGGCCCCCAGGGGTTACATTAGCCTAAACCCCTGGTGTGGTTGAATGGGGCTTGTTATGAATCACAAAAGGCACCCCTCACCCCGGCACGCAAAAGTTCCAAGGGTTTTAGATGGTGGGAACCAGGAGTGGGTAGAGGCCAAATGTGTACCTCTTACTGTATCAGCAGGTATCTGGGAAACTCCGTTGTCTTAAAACGTACAAAGGGGTAGAAGCAGCAGTCGAGCTGTTAAGGGCTAATTGGCTGGGTTTGGTGACTGATGTTTTGGGCGAGACCTGTGGGTTTCTCGGGCACAGCGTGTTCAACTTGATGTCGCCTACAAGTGGGATGGGCACTCGTGGGTATTTGTGGTTAATGTATAAACGCAAGGGAGCAGGAAACTTAAAAACACTTTTGGAAGTGTGGATGTGACCCTTGAGTGCTGGAGGACAGGCTGTGGGAGGCGGGCGCGGGCTGTCAGGCTCTGGGGGCGGCTGGGGGTGCAGAGGCCCCACGCGTTGCTGGGCGCCACGTGTGTGCCCAGACGTCCCGTGCACCCTCATGTGCTTTGCTGCCCAGGGGCGGGGGGTCCGCTCTAGGAAGCATGTTGCTGGTTGTGGGAAGTGGGCACATCCCGTCAGGTTCGTAGCTGGAGACCCCGAATGTTCCCTTATCTTGAGGTGGTTTCACATGGACACAAGGCTTCTCGGAGCGGGCCTGGACAAAGCACAGCGGGGGAGACTCAGGGCAGAATGTGGCAGGCTTTAGATGGCTGTCCCGGGGCCTGCCTTTGGGTGCGTCTGTTGTCCATGTGAAGGTGTGGCCGTGAGCAGTGACAGGAGCTTCTCGGTGGCTCTTGCTCTCTGTGTAAGCGCAGGTGGGACCGCATCCTTCCCACGTGTGCGTGCCCTGGCCTGATGCCCCCAACCTCAGTACGCCGGTTCTGTGCCTTGACTTGAAGCCAGGGGGAGCACAGGGTCCTTGACCGCAGGCCTAGACGTGGTACGCTGGATGGCTGAGCAGCCCACCACCCGCCAAGCATGGCCTGAGGGTTGGCTTTGGTCAGCAAGGAGGGGGCACTGCTGCCCCCTGAATCCTCATTCCGGGTAAGCGATTGTTTCCACAGAAAAGCATATAGAATTTTTAATATTTATTCGCAAAGCTAGGTTTCAAAGTTGAAAAAAAAATATCATTATGGAAAATGTGCCGATCAGTCATGGTTCCAGCAGAGAATGGGCACAGGTGCTGTTTTTTATGAAATTTGTGTTTTCAGGGCTTTCAGAAGCTTTTCAGATGTGCAGGCGATCTTCAGCTTTCTACAGTGTGATTGAGAAGCTGCTCCAGCCTGTGCTTTGGACACGTAGCTCCCTGCCTCTGGCTCAGCGTGGCCTCCGTGCCAGACTCGGCACCCGAGGAGGGTGTTTGCAGTCGGGGGCGCACGGCGGTGCGTTCACACACTTCAGCTGTCTGGAGCCACCGGCCTGTCCCGCGTGGCCTGGCGGGCCCGGGGACCCACAGCTTGTTGGTCAAGTGTGGGTTTCTGTCGCTTTGCCACAGAAGCGTGTTGGTTCTTGCCTATTTTTGTCACACACATGGTGCTTTGGGGGCTGTGGCAGGGACGCTAGCTGTGACTCTTCTCTGCGGGAGGGTCCCCTCGCGAGGACAAGGGCACAACTCGCGGCCCGAGTGCACGGCTGGGTGGTGACTCGTGGCATCTTGTCCCAAAGCCCCCGCGTAGATGGTTGAACGAGTTAGTTGTGACAAGGGCGCAGCTAGCGAGCAGGTGGGTCGGCTGGGGTTGGACAGATTGGGGTGTTCACGACCCTTTCCTGACCGTCTAGACCAGGGTGGGCAGAGGCCTGAGCACGTGGGGCGGAGGAGGGAGACCCCGTTCTCCGGGTCAGGGAGTGTAGGGGTGGCCGGCAGGGAGGCCGGGGACACGCAGGTGAGGGGGCTCTGCAGGCGGATGGACTCCTTGCCCTTCAGTCCGTTGTGGTTACTGGAGATTTGGGACTTACTGAACAGACCGTGGCATCCGTGGCCCTAGAGTCACGGGCTTGCTGTCCTGTGGCTGTGGCCTCGTCTTGCGTGCTCTGGCACGCTCGCTGCAGCGCCCCCTGGGGGCTCGTGGCGGAAAAGGCGCTGGAGAACACGGGTCTGTCGCTGTCACCACCGTCCAGGAGGCACGGCGGGCAGTGCGGCCGCTGGGGTGTTAGGAGTGCGTGTGAGTGTGCCCGTGTGTGGGGCCTGGCCCTGCCACCCACTGGCACTTGGGGTGGGGAGGCTGGGCTTTGTTGGGGCGCCTGCAGAGATGGGGCTTTGCTCCGTCTTCTGAGGGCCTGTCCCTTCCCCGTGTGCTTCGGGTTCTCAGTCTGAGCAGCTTGTGTCTGCACTTTACTTTCTCCTTCTATTTACGCGCTCGCGTTCCCCGAAGTTGAACGACCTATTCTATAGTAGGTGTATCATATCTACTCTACTTTCCTACTTTTCTTATTCCATTACCGTATTATTTTGTTACTTACATTTAGGTGCAAGGTGATGAATATGAACACTGCACTGCCCTGTGGGCAAGGGGGGACTCCAACCAGGCCTCAGGATCACACTCTGGTCCCCACTTCAAAGTCAGTGCTGGGGTCAGGTGTGGGCGCTGGGGTCAAGTGTCAGGTGTGGGCAAGCGGGGTCGAGGGTCAGATGTAGATGTTGGGCTCAGGTGTGGGCAGTAGGGTCCAGAGCAGATGCTACGGTCAGGTATGGGCGCCAGTTCAGGCATATGGTGTGGGACGCGCAGGGTCCAGCTCCTGGGCATGAGGTAGGGGAAGGACTGTGGGAGTGGGTGCCCAACAGGCCCGCTTGAGCCTTCTCCTGTGGGGTCAGCACAGATCTTGGAATGATGACAGGAGCATCCCCAGAGGCCCCAGGCGGCCCAGCAGGTGCTCTGTGAGTGGTGGGGTATGAGGCATGGGCGGGAGGCACCCTGGGCTTTGCGCGCGGGCTGCGGTGTCTGGGCGTGGGGGCCGTCCGGCTCCTCACCAGCCTTCTCGGCACACGGCTGGCACCTCCTTGCCACGGTCTCATTTGGTGGAGCAGCTTGGGAGACCTTGTGAATCCGAAAGGGTTTATATTCCGCTGTCTGTGGGACCAGCTTCCTTCAGGCTCTGGCGCTGCTGGTTACCTTCTGGCCCAGCGTTGCCGCGAGACAGGTGGCGCGGCTCGGACTCACTTCCTCTCTGCCCTGCGCACTCTGGGGTTTCTGGGTGACAGACCTGGTGTGTTTGTTTTGTCAGTAGTGCCGAGTGTGGGGCCCTATCAGGTGGTTTCCTGGATTGTGGGGTGGGGGATCGGGTGGTGCGTGCACATTCCCTGGCTCTCGCCGCCCCGGTGCCTGTGGCCTCTGTGACTCCAGCTGGCCCGATGTCGGGCCTCCTGCTGGCCCCGCTTCAGGGCTGGAGCCCTCTCTCCAGGGACGTTGGTAGTGGACTTAGGTTTGGGGGTGTTTCTTGCCCCTGCGCTGCTTGCTCCCCCAGATTGTGTCCTACCTGGTTCCAGCCTCACCTGTCTTCCCGGTTAGAGGCCGCGGGCGTTCTGTGACACTTCCTGTCGACCGGGTTTTGGACCAGAGGGCTCTGTCTTGTGGGTGTGGCCCTTTGGCCTGAGCTTTCTGGGGGGGCTACCTGGGTCTCCTGCGTGCTGGAGGGGGACCCCCCCATGTCCCCATCTCTCTGAGTTTGCTTTGGGGTCAAGTTCCGTGGAGAACACTTCCAGTCCCCGCCTGGGCAGGCTGGGAGCTGACTCAGGGCCGGGGCTCTGTGCTCAGGGTGCAGATGTTCGCTCGGCCTCTGTTTGCACGTGTTGGCCCCTTCCCCAGGCTGAGACCCTCCAGTCCTTGCTGTCCCGAATCGCCCCCACTCCTGTGAAGGTTGAGGGGAGCGCTTGCCCGGAAGTGGGGGAGGGCGGTCTAGGGATCCTGTTGCTTCTCAGCTGGCTTCCTTGTTACAGCTCCCTCACCCAGCACGCTCTGACGTGCTCAGCACCCCTGCACACACACACACCTGCTTGTGCACATCCCATGTGTGGTGTGGACATTCCGAGCCCCGCAGGCCTCTCCCGCAGCTGGCTGAGGACGGCGCTCGGGTTTGCCCCGTGGGCCCCATGGGGCTTCCCGTTGCTGGTGCGTCCGCATTTCTCTCCACAGCTGGACCCCTGGTGGGACAGGTGCTCGTGGGTGCTGGGCTTCAGGCACCTGCAGGCAGCTGGGGGCCCCCCCAGGGCTCCTGCTCAGCCCTGGCCTTCCGGCCGGCTGGGCCCCCATGGGCAGGGTGTGATCTGGCTGAGCAGAGACGCAGTGAGCTCCCTCACGAAGCTGGGGCTGTGCTCTCCAGGAGCACAGATCCGTGTGCTGTGGTTGGGAGATGGCCTGACGTCTTGGACAGTGCACACGTGGCTGGCCAGGCCCCGGATGGTCGCTGAAGAGAATTTGGGATGGCTCACAGGCACGTTCCTAATTTCCCTTCAGTCTCATCAGCTTAGCTGGAGCTGGTACGTCGGCTTGGGGTGGTGGAAGCACAGGGCACCTGCTCATACCCCACAGGAAGCCGGGGCCTGGCTCTGGGGCTGCAGCGGTCCCCCCAGATGGCACACAAGTGGAAGGACCCTGTAACATCTAGAGCCCCTGATTTATAACTCAAAAGTCTTGACCTTTGATATTTGAAAGAAGATATTTTGTGTTCATGTGCTTCGATGCGGGTAACCTGAAACCAGAGTGACGGCAGCAGCGGCAGGACTGTCCAGGGTCACACGTGGCAGTGTGGCCCAGGCCACTCCGAATGGGCCTCACAGCCTGGCTTCCCATCATCCCCAGCGTTGTGTGGTGGCTCACCCCCGACCGAGGGGGCGGGCAACACCCCTTTTGGGGCCATGTGGCTGATGCTCAGAGTGTAGGTCACAGCTCTGTGTGTGTGGTTTCGTTGAGTGGCTGCCGTGTCTCCCAGGCGGCCTGAGTGGACTTGCGCAGAGCCTGCCGTTTTCCAGCTGTGGCCCTTAGATGGGCTCGTGGCCCAGCGACAGAGGACCTCTCTGCGGCGGTCCTCCCGCCACCTGTCTGGCCACTGCTAGCTCGCATGTGTGCCGTGGGGTCGGCGCCATCCACACATGGCCCAGCACAGGGACAGAGCAAGACCAGGAGGCTGGGGGGCCAGGCAGGCAAGGGGCCCTGCGGAGACAGGCCAGGTCCTCAAGAAGTGACCGCTACTGTCACATCCACCTTGATTTGAATAAAGGAGTTATTTCATGGGTCCTCATTCTGTGACCAAACTTTGTGACCAGTTGTATCTTTAAAGGTTGAATCCTTAGAATTTTATTTTTCAGTGGCTTAGTTATTATAGAACAACAAGAAAAGTCAGGTTGTTTGTTTTATAGAGCCAAATAATTTCCTTAAAAGTGCTGATTTCAAAGAGGGGGAAGCATTTATTTACTTGAATTCACTGTGGCACTGTTTCTAGGAAATTTTCTAGCCAAAGAGATGGTCGTTATGAGGCACATCTTGGCTCTTTGGGTTTCGGTTGGGTTTCAGTTGCTCAGCTTGTGTTCTGGGCCCTCAGATGTAGGTGCCGGAGCCCAGGTCAGAGTGCGGGAGCGGCTGTGTCCCCGCGGCTGGTCCAGGCTTGCGCATTGCCCCACCCTGTGTGCGCAGATGCTCCTTAGAAGCCCCGAACCACGTGCTGACACCTGTGTGGGGGCAGCCTGGGTGTGGCTCCAGAGAGGAGGCTGACCCCAGAGTTGCTGAGGTCACACTGGGGCAGGTGGAGCCACGTGGGGCCAGCTTGGGAGGCCGCTCCAGCAGCGGGGTAGGTGTGCAGTGGCCCACATGCATGTGCTGCCCCAAGATGCCGGGCCAGGAGTTCAGGGCGAGGGCTGGGGGGCTGGTGTCAGGGAGATGGGGCCCTGGTCGGGCCAAGGGGGCTGCTGTCGTGTGTGGTCTGGAGGTGGGCTGTGGCCAGGGGTGGAGCGGGGAGGCCGGCACATGCTCCCAGCACCAGGGCTGGGGTGGCCTGCTGGGTCTTAGGAGCCTGGTGGGATAGCCAAGGAGAGGTGCCACCTGAGTGGACAGGGCTCTGTCTGCAGTTGGGGGAGAGCCCGGCAGCCTCCATCTTTAACAGCCCGGCGAAGATCTGGCTGGGGGCAGGGGGCAGAAAGGCAGTGCCGGCCCATCCAGGGAGTCAGGTCTCAGCAGGCAGCATGCCGGCCAGCCGCCGGAGGCCTGCCATGCCGGGCGGGCCTGAGTGTGGTGTGTGGCTGATGCACGGGGACCAGACGCTGTATGTGAATTTGGGGATCCACTCCTGGGTCAGTGTAACCCCGTGGATGTGCTTTAAGCTCGTATCTTTTCTGTTTCAGACTTTAAAAAATTCAAAAAGCCTTTGTTCCCTTGATTATGAAGACGAAGAGGAGGATGACAGCCAAGTGAAGCTGGCCCCGTATGCCCCACGCGGCCCCACGGGCATCATCACTCCCGGCTCCAGACCACTGGGCGTGTGCCCCAGCCCCTGCTGCACCGGCCCCGGCCCGTGGGCCTCTTGGGAGCCCATGGCCGCTGAGGGCGAGGGCGGGAGTGGCGGCGACCCCAGTGACTGGGAGAGCGCTGGGGAGGAGGGGGCCTTCCCTCCCGGCCGCGGCGAGCTGGACCTGGGGCAGATCGAGAGCAACTGACCCCCGGCGGGGGGTCCGGGGCCACTGCCCCCAGTTTCTTCCCGGCTCACGGACAGGAGCTGGGCTACGCAGAACTTTGAACATTAGGTGTAATTTTGATCCAGTTTTTCCTAAAGAAGTATTTTGGATTTTTATGGCTTTTACAGTTCTGGAGAAAGCTGCTGTATTTTGAACGAATTTTCGGAAGGGCATTCTATGAAACGGGAGGCTGCGGGCCGATCCCAGCACAGGTGTGCGTTCTTTTTCTAAAACCCCTGCCGTGCAGGGCGCGGGGGTCCGTGAGTGCCGAGCAGCCGGCCTGCTGCTGCCCGTCACCTCTTCGGAGCGCCAGGCGGTGGTGCCTGTGTGCTCAGGAGCTCTGGGATGGTGGTCCTGGCAGCACCTGGTCTGACTTCAATAAAAGGCGTTTGCTTCCCCGTGTTTGTTTCTGGCTGAAAGCAGTTGGGCCTCGGGCCTGTGGGTCTCGTGCAGCACAGGGTTTTCATTTAATGACATGGGGGGTTTGTCCCTGAGACTCTGACCTCAGGAGTTTTGAGTAGGAGGGCGCAGTCTGTGGTAGTGAAAGAAAACAGCAATAACCTTCAGAGAAATTTTCTTGATCTCCCCCGCACCGAGAACATTTTCCAAGCTCACAGCCATGCACGGGGACCGCTGTCCCTGGTGCGGACGTAGACAGGAGGTGCCGGTCTGCAGGACGCCGGGCTTTTTTGGGCCTGCCCGCTGGCCCCTTCCCTGCGGGATGGGGGGTCCTACAGCCCACCACCGATCCCTCAGGCCCACCCTGCACTGACCTCCTGCCACGTGGCTGACGTGCACTCCTGGGAGTCGGAAGTGGCCATCATGGCTTCTCCAGTGACCGTCGAAGAACTTTTTTCCTTCCACTCTTGGCTGTCGTCCGAGGGTCCCTGAGATTCCGGAGATGCCCGTTCATCTTGTTCACTCACTGGAAGGCCTCCTGAGGGAGCAGGCGCCCTGCGTCTCAGCAGACGTGCTGTGGCCAGAGTCAGACGTCAGAGACAGAGTTTGTTCTAGAACAGTCCGCCTGGCCAGTTAGTGGTCTCAACCATGGGGAGTTTAGAAAATACTGGTGTCTGGGCCCCTCCGGGGTGTTGCCTGGATGGGATGGGGTAGGGGGGCTGTTTGGAGCTGTCTGGCTTTAACCCGAAGAGGAGAGATAGATGATCCAGGTGCGGCAGAGCCGTTTCCCCTGGGACCCCGAGCCCTTTGGTCCTTCGGTCCTCAGCGGCCTCCCGGGGCTGGCAGACGTCTGGCCACGTGTGGGTCTGGTGTGGGACCCGAGCCTGCGGGCCACCTGCAATGCAAAGAAGCCTTTGGCAGTTTCTGAGAGGGGCCTTTGGGGGTCAAGCTGGTGCCCACGGGCATCACCAGCGTCCCCAGAGCCACCACCTGGCCAGAGAGCCTCTGGGACCCACAGGCACGCCCTTGGTGGGCACGTGACTTGGGTCCCAGGATCCCTGCATTGGATTTCCAGCACAACTGGGAGGTTGTGTTTTGGGTTGAATTTCGGGAGATAGGCTCTGTGTACTTAGCTGCATAGAGCCAGTGTCCCCACTCAGAACTTTGCTCCGGGGCCGACCTGTGGATCTGGTGGGGCGGGGGTGAGGTGGGGGCGAGGTCCCTGGGCCAGCAGAGCCTGGCCACGGGGCTGTGGGGCAGTAACGGGTGGGGGGAGGTTGAAGGGGCCTCGGTGTCATTGGTATCACCCACACCATATTTTCTTGCCACATCCTGATAACAAAAAGATAGCAAACAAAACCTTGTGTGTTTGGGAAATTTAAAAATGCACTTTACCTAACTCATTGGCCAAAGAAGAAATCATCCAAGTTAGACAATACTTTAAACTGAATGGTCCTGAAAACGGTACATATCAAAACTTGTCAAATGTATCTTAGGTTGTAGAAAGAAGGACATCTATAGCCCTATGTGATTACGTTAGAAGAAATGAGTGGGAAATCAGCCAGCTTAGCTTCCAATTTAAGAACAAGGCAGAGGGGCGCCTGGGTGGCTCAGTCAGTTGGGCGACTGCCTTCGGCTCAGGTCGTGGTCCTGGAGTCCCGAGATCGAGTCCCGCATCGGGCTCCCTGCTCGGCGGGGAGTCTGCTTCTCCCTCTGACCCTCCCCCCTCTCGGGCTCTCTGTCTCTCATTCTCTCTCTCAAATAAATAAATAAAATCTTTAAAAAAAAAAAAAACAAGGCAGAGGTCAGCAGATGCCCTTGAAAGGAAGTAAATATTTTGGATTTGGGGAGTGCAGGTGGTGTCCCCCCCCCGATTTCATCCCCACACTGTCATTTGCTGACCCCTGAATGTGGGGGATGAACGAGCAAAGCTGAAGGGAAAAGAGGGAGCGCAATCCTAAGAGCAGGCGCTTTGCCAGAAGGGACGGGTCAGGAGCTGTACCGGGAAGGGCCGGGGGCGAGCAGGTTGTCTTCGGAACGCGGAGGGGCCGTGCAGGCCGTGAAGAGAGTGCGGCTGGTCCAAGCGACTTGGAAGCAATGACATGTTCCTGGAGAAATAGCGCCAACCACCCAGCGGGGAAGAGAGACGCCAGGGCTGGTCCCGGGAAGCGTAGTGTGAAAAGCTGTGGTTCAACACCTTCCCGTATGGAAGGCACCAGCGCAGGCTGGCTTTGGAGGCAAGTGCTGCGAAATACCCAAGTGTGATCCTGACGTGAAATCAGACGCGGGCAGGGATGGGGGCGCTGCTGATGGCCGTCCGCTGACCGCTGTGGCCACGGTGGCGGACAAGCCCCCGGGGCAGGTCTCCGAGAGCCTCCTCTCCCTGCTCCCATGCCCGCCCTTTTAGGTGGTGTGGGGAGGGCTGGGGGGCCGGGGACGGAGCCCTCAGGGCCACTGGGAGCCTCAGCTGGGCCCGCCCGGGCAGTAGGCCCCGCCTGCTCTCCTGCCGCCCACACGGGTCCCGTGTGCTTGAAGAAGCTCAGGGCGCTCCCACCGCACCCCGAGGTCAAGGGCATGGGCAAGCAGGGTCAGGCTCCTGCAGCCTTCGTCCCTGCCCTCCAGACCGCGAGGGAGGGGGCCCTGGTTCTCTCACAGGGGCGGCAGCCCGGCGAGCCGAGCCCCTCACTCCCTCTCCCTGCGCCCCTGACCTCGGCCCCCCGGCTGTGCCAGCCCTCCCGCCTTCGGCCCTGGTGTCACGTCGGACGGGAAGCCCGTCCCTGTCACCCGACGTCCAGTCGCGTGCTTTTTCTATTTTTTTGCAGTTGCGGATATAGCTTCTTTAAGCCTCGTTAAGTTACTTTTGTTAATTTATATTGTCCTGGAAAATGGCCCATTTCGTCAAGAAGATCCGACGTGTTAGCTCGTCACTGCGTCTCCGCAGCTCCCAGTCCTTGTGCACGGCCCTCGCGGCCCCACTTCTCTCGCTCCTGGCCAGAGGTTGCTTTATTTTGTTTATTTATTTTGAGGACCGGCTCTTGGATTTACTGATGAGTTCTTCCATTTTTCTTGTTTCCAATTCATTAATTCGCCTTTATCTTTACCCCTCCTGCTCCCGTGGATTTACTTTATTGTCTGTTTTCCCTCCTTGTGTCGAATGTTTAGTGCATTTATTATCAGTCTCTCTTGCTCAGTAATAAAAGCATTTAAGGTTGTGAATTCCCCACCAGCCCCTCCCGAAGCTGGCTCCGCGGACGTGCGGTCTCCCTTTTCTGGACGGCTGTAAATCTGTCCTGGAGACTTTTATTTACTCTCTGACCTAGGAGTTATTTAGGCGAGCACTTTTGAATTTCCAAATCATCTGGCTTCTCTTTTAGATCCTTTGATTAATTTTTAGGTTGGTTGTATTGTTTTAAATAATGAGCCCTGTAGATGTTTGGTTGTTTGGGATGCAGTGAGGCACATGTGCACGTGTGTGTGCCTCCCTGTGTGTGCAAGCACACGCATGTGTAAGCCCCATGTATGCGTACACATGCCCACACGTGGGTCCACGTGCGCGTGCCGCTCTGCCCACATGACTGCATGCGTACGCATATGCATGTAGCATGTAGCATGTAGCATGTTCTATGGTTTCTGACCAGGTGACTGCCACCCGGTCAAGGACATTCACAAGAGGACTGCAGGCCCTTGTCCTCGCTCTAGCTGTGTCCCCCGATCCTGGGTCTCTGGGTGAGGTCTGGGCCGCCCACGGTGGTCTGACAGGCCGGCCTCCTCTCCCAGTGGAGCCGGGATCCCCGTTGTGTTCGCAATGATGTTCCTGACCCCACACCCCGGATGGCCAGGTCTGCTATTGACAGGGCCCATCACCGGGTGGCCTGGGGGACGCTGGGCCCAGCACAGGCTGCAGCGGAGGGCAGGCTTGTCCTGCGGCTCCCATCGTCCCTCTGGAGCAGCCGGAGCAGGTGTGTGGAGTGCTGGAGAGGACCCGGCAATTTTCAAACAGAAAGTTCAATTTAATTCCTAGTTTGCTAATTACACAAAATTAGGAGTAGATGTTATTATTTTTATTCATCTGTTGAGATGGTCATATGGTATTTCTTCTTTAATCTGTATATGAGTTTTCTAGGGCTGCTGCAACAATGACCACGGCCTGGGGAACATTGCTTCTCTCAGAGCCCTGGAGGCTGGGAGTCTGAGATCCAGGTGTGGGTGGGCTCCCCCTGAGGCCTCTCCCGTGTCCTTACGTGGTCGTCCCTCTGTGAGTGTCTGTGTCCTCATCTTCTCTTATAAGGACACCAGTCACATTGGATTAGTGCCCACCCCAGGGACCTCATTTTACCCTAACAATTGCTTTAAAGACCCTATGTCCAATTTTTTTATTGTGGTAAAATACACATAAAATGTACCATTGTAATCATTTTAAGTGGGTGGTTCAGTGGCATCAGGCACATTCACAATGTTGATTGTGAATTCATTCACCCTCCACCTCCAGAACTTGTTCGTCTTCCCAGACTGCCCCCAGGAAACACTAGCTCCCCATCTCTCCCGTCCCCAGCTCCCCGACACCCACCATCCACTTTCTGTCTCTATGATCTGACTCCTCTGGGGACTCACGGGAGTGAGACCATCCAGTGTTGTCCCTTTGGGGCTGGCTCATGTCACTGAGCCCAGTGTCCTCAGGGTTCACCCAGGTGGTGGCAGGTGCCTGCACCTCCTCCCTGTTTAAGGCTGAATAACACTCCATCGTGTGGATTGTTGTCCGTTTTGTTTATCTGTCCATCCATCTGTCCATCCGTCCGTCCATCCATTCATCCATCCATCCATCAACCCATCCATTCATCCGTCTGTTTGTCCATCTTTCCATCTGTCCATCCATCTTTTCATCTCTCCATCTGTCCATCCATCTGTCCATTGTCCATCCATCCGTCTGTCCATCTGTCCATTAATCTATCCATTCATCCATGTGTCCATCATCTATCTGTCCATCCATCCTTCCATCTGT